GGGGTGGCTTTCTCCCCCTCGGCCCCCATTCCCAGACGATGAGGGCACTTCGGGAAAAGGCCGTGTGCCTTTTGGGGCGCCTCCACCCCCACCTCCCGGTTCCTCCTCTTCTCAGTTAACCTGAGGGGGAAAGTGCTGATGATTCTTACGAGGTGGGGGGCGCTGGCCTCAGGAAGGGCCCCGGCCATTAACATCCCCCCTCCCACAAACACAACACCCCCTGTTCTTGGTGGTCATGAGGCTAATGGTCAGGGCGAAGGACGTCTAGCTTGCCCTTAGTTTCGGTTTTGGCGTTTCGAAGGTCTCCTTTGCCTTCGGCACTGTGTGGGGTCCTTCGTGTATTTTGGGGGGGGGGCTTCACCTTATGTTAAGAGAATTACTGGAAAGTAGGGGATTGGAAAGTTTCTTACTTTATTCCCCTTCCCGTCTAACCCTCTCATTTTACCCCCCCCCCAACCCTTTCCTCCTCCCTGGTCTCAGCTTTGCGCTCTTCTTCCAGTTCCTCTCTCTGAGCCAGAGGATTTCCCGTCCGTAGGGCTGGATTTCTGGCCTCGCCGACCACTTTCGCATTCGCTCGCTTGCCATAGTGTGTAAGACACAATGACATGAGATGTGAGAATACTATGGTTGGGACGCGAGTTTCACCCACGGCTGCACTTACACACCCTTCCAGTTTAATTGTGCACACAGCAGTTGGCCCCACATTATCATTCATATTATCTTTCCGTCTCCTGAAACCGGTTCCACTTGTGAGACCACACTCGGAGACAGTGACTACCACGTATGGGTACTCATCACGAAGAGCAAAAATAATGTGAGGAAAGCATCAGTAGCATTCACTTTATTGCATCATCAGATTATTTTACATAAACAGAGTTGCCATGCTTACTTAAAGGTTCCCTTCAAAACATTCGACAAGTTAGTGATTTCTTCAGGGGTGATTTGAAGGTTTACTGGTCAATGACAGTTGGCTTGTTTGTCATTCTGATGATTGGCACAATGTGTCAAAAGCAGCTAAATGTTTTGCTCTTGTAGAAGCTGGTATAACGGCCAAGGTGGTGTTCCAAAAGAAAGCAAACTGCTTATGGAGAGTATCCATCAGCTTGTTGAAGGTGTTGTTGTTGTTTAGTTGTTAAGTCGTGTCTGACTCTTCGTGACCCCATGGACCAGAGCACGCCAGGCCCTCCTGTCTTCCACTGCCTCCTGGAGTTGGGTCAAATTCATGTTGGTAGCTTTGATGACACTGTCTAACCATCTCATCCTCTGTCGTCCCCTTCTCCTCTTGCCTTCACACTTTCCCAACATCAGGGTCTTTTCCAAGGAGTCCTCTCTTCTCATGAGATGGCCAAAGTTTTGGAGCCACAGCTTCAGGATCTGTCCTTCCAGTGAGCACTCAGGGTTGATTTCCTTCAAAATGGATAGGTTTGTTCTCCTTGCAGTCCAGGGGACTCTCAGGAGCCTCCTCCAACATCACAATTCAAAAGCATCAATTTTTTGGTGGTCAGCCTTCTTTATAGTCCAGCTCTCACTTCCATACATCGCTACTGGAAAAACCATAGCTTTGACTATG